TCTCTCTCTCTCTCTCTCTCTCTCTCTCTCTCTCTCTCTTTCTTTCTCCCTTTTTCTCTCTTCCTCTCTTCCTCCGCATGCCGGCCGCCGTATGTAGATGATAAGGGCGTCGCGGGTTGCGCCGCTTTACTTACTCTAAGCCACTTGTGGTTGAGAACCTCTTGGATGGTGATCCTATGATTTACGTCGGTCGTGAGCATTCTCTGTATGAGGTCTTTCGCCGGCTCGCTAATGGAATCCCAGAGTGGCGTCTCCATCTGCGAATTCAATTAAATCGGAATTACTACTCGCGGGATACGCGCGCTCGGAAAGCGACTCGGCGTGTGCAGGGTGCGCGCCTGAATGGCGCGAGCGAGCGAGCGAACGAGCGAACGAGCGAACGAACGAACGAACGAACGAACGAACGAACGAACGAACGAACGAACGAACGAACGAACGAACGAACGAACGAACGAACGAACGAACGAACGAACGAACGAACGAACGAACGAACGAACGAACGAACGAACGAACGAACGAACGAACGAACGAACGAACGAACGAACGAACGAACGAACGAACGAACGAACGAACGAACGAACGAACGAACGAACGAACGAACGAACGAACGAACGAACGAACGAACGAACGAACGAACGAACGAACGAACGAACGAACGAACGAACGAACGAACGAACGAACGAACGAACGAACGAACGAACGAACGAACGAACGAACGAACGAACGAACGAACGAACGAACGAACGAGCTGATGGAAGCCGCGCGGCGAGCGTTATTAAGGAACTCCTTTTTTTCCATAACGTGCTCGTCCGCGCGGATTAACAGCGTTAGGAAGCGGTCATTGACTACGTGAGACAGGATCGTTACCTGCACCCGCCCTCGGCAGATCGCTTCCCGTAGTCTGTCCCGAGAGCCGACGAATGGAAGTGTACCGGTTAGCAGAACATGTAGCAGCACTCCGGCTGACCAAACGTCACCGGGTTTCCCGTACTGTCGTCGTTGAATCACTTCCGGCGCCATGAAGTGCGGACATCCGACACGACCTGCGCGAGTACCAAGAGTATCGGTGAGCGAAAGTAGACAAAACTGACGATGGCGACCAGAGGATTGGAAGCGAGAGGCGTGAGTGATTGCACGGAAACTTCGCAGTCGATCGTTACGCGGAAACGGAGTGCTCGTGCCCGAGCCCGCGAATTTATCCGCCGAAATAAGTCGTCCGCCGAAGATTTTCCCGGAGTCCCGCGCGGAGACTCGCTAACGATGTGTATGCACACGTGTCCAATAATCGGCGGCTCTTTCTCCGTCCGAATCCAATCGATCGGCCGTCTCGCGCGCGACGACAGAATTCGAGCCGCGTTTCTATTTGTCGTCGTTATCGGGAACGTAGAGATCGACTGGACGTATCAAGTGTAATTAATGGCAAGGAACGAACGTGTCAAACGCAAAAGCTACTGCATTCCCCGAATAAAAGAAATCAGAGAAACAGATACACTCGTCACAAAATAGCTCCGAGCCTCTGAGCACGATATAAATAAATGTATGTATGGATGTGTACACACACACATACACACACACATGTATATGTATATGTGTGTGGACGCAAACGTCTTTCATGGACGATAACCAACGTGCTCAACTTGCTTACTCTTTCAACAACCTATATTTATTAAGAATCGGTAAATGACACAGAAAGCGGCACGGGAGGGAATGTAGGTCACTGCACGTCGAAGAGTGTACATGGAAAAATGAGATGATCAAGGCTGTAAAGCAAAGACGACATAATCGCGATCGGGCACTCTGTTAAACGCTAGAAAAGTTATCGTTAAATCATTGTAACACTCTGAACGTATGTAAAATATGTAGGATCGCACGATGCATTATGTGCGCGCACACATAATTGTCAATCAGGTTGTGGCACGGTAAAACGTGGGAAGAATTCCTTTCTGAAATATCATGAAACATATAGTAAAGTAATAAGTACGTTCAATTTTAAATATTTAGTCGTATCTCACGACTATAATCTTGAATTAGATATCCTACATATATGATCTACTATGTATTATAGTTATATTCTACCTATATAATGAAACGTTAACTATAATTAATCTAAAGTTTTATGTTTATATAATGAGAAAATGAATATTGCTAGTACATACTGTATACGCGAAATATATATACTCCTCTATATTTATATATCTTACTATATTAAAAAAAAATACATGTTTCTGTCACAGATCCATTCGTAAAGAAGAGAGTTGAAATATATATAAAGTAATTATATAAAGTAGGTAAGATAAAAATGAGAAAAAAAGACAAAATTTATACTTTCTTTCGTAACAGTAATTAAATTTCCGCAATATGATGGGCTAAGGAAGCTTGGAATGACCGGTGGTGAACGTAAATGAACCTTCGATAAAGAGAATTTCTCGCGGATTGATACTGTCGCATTAATTGTTCCACCACAATTTTCTCTAGTTAAAAAAAAGACATATAGATATATTTAATGACAGACTCTGGAAAATATCGATGAACTTTATCTACAAAGTGTACATGATAACACAAAAAAAAACGCGCTAGACAACAGGTTTTTAGTCGAGTACCTCTGAACAAAAGATAACGTGGTGCTAGTGCAGAGGAAAACCGATGCAGTTATTTATGCGAGATGAATGCAACGAATGAAATGAGGCTTAACATCTCGAAGAGACTGAAAGACAACCAACATTTAACAAAAAAAAAAAGAAGAAAGAAAACAAAGAAGTTTAACGGTGCCATAAACAGGTGCTAGACTACAGACACATTTAGAAACGGAAGGTTCCATGCAAGTTTCACCGAGCATGCAGAGTGCCAGAATGTAAATTCAATGAGATAATACACATTACTAATAAGAACTAACACGCGCTAATGAAAGACACAACCATGAACAGAGACATTTCAACTTCGTATCGTATCGCGTGCTGCGTTATCTCGCGTAATTTTAATTAGGCGCTTTTCACTCAAAATAATTAGTTGTGCAAACAAAACGGCGAGTTGATGGCGCGGCGTGTATTTTACGCATCGGATATGTTTTAAATATACTCGGCGTGAGACATACAACGAGAGAGCGGCTTTAGAAATTTCCGGGATGTATGCGGAAAAAAGTTTATTTCGAGTAGAACGCACTACACGAGCGTATACGCAATTTCGTCTATTTATAGAGACGCAGAGTGTCAAAGTAAAAATACTAATCGCGCGCGCAAACGTCGCGACAACGGAGGCGAAAAAACGCATTCGTTTTGAAAAACAAAACAAAAATCGTAACTTTTTACACTACCAAATCTCTTTCACCGGCGTAACGGCGGTCGGATGATTTATTCGGCGGTCGACCCCTTGTCGCAATGCACTTTTCCGAATTTGTCGCGCGTGTTACCGTCGTGACTTATAATACAATGTTACCATAAATTCAGTTCTAGTAGAACCGGTGGCAGTGGAACGACTCTGCGCGGAACGATACTGCGCGTGTGCGCCTTGATAAATAAAGAAACTGCAGGATAAATCCTCATGAAAAGTGTGTTTCGCCAAAACTTCACGTCCGTACGCGTGATTTCGAAATAAAATCGTGCTCGCGCGCGATGAGATGCGTATCGGTCCCGCCGAGTTTCATTCTAAAATTAACGCCAAAGAAGATTACACTTTTGCACATTATCGCGGTCGGAGTGTGGCGGTCACGCGATACGCAGTAAGATGTGCGGTAAGATGCGCACACCTGTCACTCCGGATTATCGAGTTTCGTGAGCGAACTGAGGAGATTGCTAAGGCGGTGCTATTCATAAGTTCTTTATCAAGGGGTACCGAGTGTGACACCTTCATAATAAATTGCTTATCATGACGGCGCGAAGAACGAACGGTCGTAAAAAGTGGCTGTTGGGGATCATGCGACATTGTGCGTTATCGTAGTTCATCATTGTGACGGTTGATTCGCAATTGTGTGATATATTACACCAAGTCGACGGGGATTATAGTGATGAAATTCCGAATGTATTTCAATTAGGAGTCGCACATTTGCGAGCTATTTGGCGCGTTAACCCGCGATACAACCCGGATCGATCGAATTGCTACGTTCTGTCGCGTTTGTCTTTCTCATGCTGAACACATTTCGCGACAACTCGCGTCGAAGTAGCCCTGTCTGACGCGCGGCGACCACTTTCAATTTGTCATCGATAAGTGATGAAAGACAAACACAAAGCGGCATACAAATAGACAGACACACATACACACGCGCGCGCGCACATACACACACACACGCGCACACACACACACACAGGCTAGTCTACCGCTACGGACAATGACGACATAGACAGACCCAAATAACGCGGGCAATTAGTCCACGAGACCAGACTCCAAAACCAGATAAACCGATTGAAGGGTTTATTACGTGTAACCGAGATACAAAACCGTTCGAAACGCGAAAGAATCGTGTCGTATGTAAGACAATGGGAACCACGACTCATTGATAATATACGCACGAGGAATAAATGTAATTGTAACACGAGCGACGTATATTGATTGTGATATCAAGTAAACGTGGTTTGTTATGCAAATTTAGGGCGAGCAATTTGGGACTATGCAGAGGCGCGTAATTCATTTCAATGTGTCATATAAAATAGAATAAAATTGGCCAGTTTTTAGTATTCGCTACCTGTGTTGTGGAACACCATTTTTGTCTTTGTAATTCGGTTCCCGCCGCTTTGGACGTGCAAATATACTGCGGAATGATGATGTATGTTATCTACAATAGACAAATTAGGCTACCAGCCGAAATATATAGCGACAACGCGTTGTGAGTTCAATCGATTCGGTCAATGAGCGAAGATAGCGATTGTGGGCGCCCACAAAGCGAATTCGATCATTGTCGACTGTTACGAACGAAATACCCCTGCGTTCGGCTTTTAGATTTTCAATATCCTTTTTTTACGCGAGGGAAATAATGACCGATCGATGACCCACTGTCGGTGACCTGGTTGACCGCGAATAATGATCACGGTTTTCAGCGAATGCGCAAAAACTGAAAACTATCAAGGCGAACTTTTTGATGGAGTATGAATAATGCCTTTTTATTGAAAACCCGACCCGGAAACGCGACGTTCGCTCATTCATTCGCGGACGCATACACATGGACCACTCCTTCCCAGTTTTGCCCCGTACCGATGTCGATGAAACAAAGTAAACCTTAACAACGCGCCGTAACGAACCCTTCAATTCTGCTAGAAACAAAAAAAGGAAGACTTATCCCAATTCTACAACGATAAAGCAGAGCTTGTGTGTCATTCGCGCGTTGCAGAATCAGACACGCGGACGACGGACGGGGGTTGAGGATATGGAGAAAAGAGGAAGGAGTAGCTTCTCCTCTCGACGGCACAACGAATATATATCTGTTACTACGCGACCTGCACAACGATATTACAAGGAATTATGCTATCGCACGTAGGTCAAGTAGAGTGTCTATGCAGACACTACACGTTCCCAAACTAACAAGACCGTACCACGCGGGGGTAGAACTCGAACTGTGCCTCAAACGAGAGTAATCCCGGCATGAAAGTCCGGCCGATCCGCTCGATGATAATCACGGCTATGCAGCGTGCGTTCCTGTGCGCGCGTCGCTCGCAAAAGTGAGGCCCGGGATTACAAATCCGCTCACGCAAAACACACCACGCGGATTATGATTTCATCGTGAGACTCGAACTATAGAAACTTGCGCAGTCGTGTACAGGATGGGCCACGTAAAGCGATCTGATCGCGCGCGCGGACGCGCGTTAACGAGAGTAGCGCCGAAAGTAACGAGAGACGTGACGAATCGTCCGGAAGAAAAAAGGAAAAACGGGTTGGAACGTGCGATTTTCCTGACTCCCGTTTCTCGACACGCTTATCTCACGCCGTTTCTCTCTCTTTCTCGATTGCCTCTCGCAGAGTTAACGCAGGGCGGATTACATCCTGCATACACGTACGACCTTGCGCCGTTGATAGGAACGGCTCTCAATAATATTTTACGATCAGCGATGTGTTAAGAGCACGGCGCCACACACTCGAGGACGCGCGAAGGGGTGTCCCCCCTTTAAGGAGATACGCGATAATTTCTCGCTTCTACCCCCGATCGTGGTATACCGGTCGTTACGTAGATGTGGTAGGCATGTGGATACCGATATTGTCCTCCGTGTCGCTCACTAGCGAATCCTCGGCGTCGGTCAGGTCCTCAAAAGGGAAATTGCAGCTCGGGGAGATCAGCCCTATCGAAAGAACACAGACAGAAAGGAGAAGGATTGTTACCGTCACGATAATCTCGCGCTGTCGCGCGGCTCGCTGTGACGCTTCACGGACGATAAGACGCTCTTTGTCGTCATCGCCGTTACTCGTAGAGGAAGACAGACCTGCGGCTGTTGTCGAGTGTCCTTGCTCTTATCAGAAAATCGGACTCGCGAGATGGACGGATTTTCTTGTCTTTTTTCTCTTCTTACTTTTCTACTTTTTCGCGCTATTTGTTCTCTCTCTATTTGGTGGTATGTGTGCGTCTTTATACTGGGTATGTAAGATGTTGAGCTCGGTCAACGTCTGTATATGCGTATCTCACTTCTTGTATCGTACGGAAAGTAGTATAATTTGCGTATAAACTTGTGTCAGTGCTATATAAAAGCCTGTCGAACTTCAGCTTGCTTTATTCCGTTCGTTTCGCAATTTTATGCGGGCAATCGGCGCAGCTATGGTGGATATATGCGCGATGACACGTTTCCAGGAAACCACGGTTAACCGCTTGCATTTCCGCCAAAATGACGATCTCTCCGACATGTAGGAAACACAAATATATTACAAAATTTCCGAGCAACAATAACTAGAACGGAATCTTTACGACCTTGCAGGATAGACACACGTAGTAGAGCTCCGGTTGCTCTCGCGCAATAACGACGAATAATCGACGAATAATAACCGGCAATACATATACACACGGCAAATCGCAATTAGTCATGTTTGATACATTTAGTGAAGAATTACTTTTAAATCGATATATATATGATGTCTAATGACAAATATATTATAAATGGTATGAGGGTGACAATCTCCGATCAATGAATTAGCCAAGTCAAAGTAAACATCCGAACGCGTAAAGCAAGCAAGCAAGCAGTGGCAGCTTCTAGAGTACAGTGACGTGAATATAAAGGAGAGAAAGAGAGAGAGAGTACACGGAATAGGTTAAAATGTAACATAATATGTGGATGTGTCAGAAGTGTGTACACGTGTTTTATATATATATATATATATGTATATATATATGTATATATATATATATATATATATATATATATATATATATATATATATGGCGTGATGAGACAAGGCTCCTGCGGAAGTGATGATTAAAGGTTAGATCAGGCTTACCCTCGCTGTCGGCCTTCAAGTAGAGCTGCCCCTTTGGGCTCAGACACTGCCGATACTCGGTCGTGTAACATTCTGTATTCATTGAAACCAAATTTCAGGTTATCAGTGTGCGTTAATCAGACGACGCGCTTTCCTCGCGTAGTCGCTGGCTAACTAACGTAATCCGCGGGAAAACGTTCACGGCGCTAAGCTGTGCGCGATCGGTGAACTCTCATCGGCATTTAACCTGTCATTCTCTGTGAGACGACGGCGTCCCAACCGCGCGAATCCCGAGCGACGTACGAGTACGTGAAACGAGGAGAATTCAGTGAAGAAGGATACACCAGAGAGAATCATTAAGACGATTTGCTCGGTCACGAATTCAACCGCATTGCCGGAAATCTTTTATCTAAAAATGATTCAACCCGGTAGTAGAACGCAAGCCAATTTGATTGCAAAACTCGCGTATAAAAAGTCGCGCGGCCCAGTTTACGAGAAGTTCCCCAGTGTCGATGCCAGGCCTATACTCGGTACGCTATTATTCTACTCTCAGAATGCCAAATTAGTTTCAAACTGAGAAGAGCAAAGGCGGAAGAGCCGGTGGAGTCAGAGGAGATTAATATCTGACTCGGTATAATAGCGGTAACGTCTTAGCGGGGCGAGGAGGCAATTAACTCCAGCAGGTAAAAGTTTTTATCGCCATTAAATTCTAATACCGATTAACGGGAACTTTTGTTGTACCGCGCGACACACGCGCATGAGAGTGTAGCTGTTCGTAGTGATCGTTATCGTGTATATTGTATTCTTATGGTGATATCTCGATGGAATTATAAGAGAGATCTGTTTGGTGAGAATTCACCTGTAATAACACCATCGTTATTCGTGTCATTTTAATCGTTGCACCTTTATGAACGAGCTTTCGTTCCTCGATTGATTATATTATCACCGTTTCAAACGAACCGAGAGGATAGAGCAGGTCGACCGATAACGTGCGTCCCATCAACAGCTCTTAACGGCGATGCGGTGTGTAAACGCGATACTCGCGTCTCGTCGTCTTAACACCAATAAAACAATCGGCCATATTGATAGCAGGTATAAATTATGCGACATGAGAGAAAGATTTGAGACCGAAGACGCTGCTTTAATATCGCATGGCAACGTGGAGCCGATCGATTTCGAAAACGCGCGGCGGAGACGGTCGCGCGCTTGCCGCGCGAGGGAAACTCAAAATTAGTCCAGGGTGTAGCGATAGAACGATATCTACAAAAGTGTCGCTAACAGCAAGAGCCATCTACTTACTGTGTAACCATGCGATATCGAGGCAGCGAAAGATCGTAAAAGAAAGGCACAGACACCAATCGATTGAGGCTGATCAGAAAAGAGAGCATCACGGTTGTCATAAGAAAGAAATCCGATAAAAGCCGTTGCATTCTGCACATCGAACACCGAGAAATTTCGAATGTGATCCGCCAATCATCGACCAAGCCAGCCAATAATCGCAAGAGAGGGCATTCAAAAGATACAAAAACACCGAGTGTCTTTGAAGTGACGCTTATAAACAGGAAACCATCGTATCGGTATTTGTAAAAAAAAAGACAAAGAAAAAGAGAGAAAAAAAACTAGAAAAAAGACAAAAATCTGAATTGCAAATTCTGAGGAGGCAATATTCAATGCGCGCTTTCAGCAGAGCTTCTCGTCCGCGCGTCCGATAATATCAGCTACCGTTTAGCGCTCTCCATCGTAAAGGTTATTGTAGTCGTATCTCCACCGCAGGTGATATCGCGTGTCATAATATCCGGGGAAAAAAATCTTTAACCGAGCCGAGTACACACGCGCGAGCTGCGCGAGAAGCACATTTTGCGAGAGTTTAATCATCTTTATCCAGCGTTAAACACGTCGGCGCACCTTCAATAATAATTCCGTTATCCCGGGGAACGTGTTCGTCCCTTCTTCTCGCACTGAATATTTTACAGCTTCCTTCCTCCCTTCAATATATGACAAGGAGATCGCGCGGCTAAATCACATCCGTTAAACTCATTGTCGTAATTAATCCGCCTGAATGTCAACGGGTCGACAGGTTCTCGCGCGAACAGTTTAATATTAAAACTTCTTCGGACACACGCGACGACGCGTATAGAGATGCTTATGTAATTAAAAAAAAATATATATAAAAGTTACTTGGAAAAGTACATCGCGCTTCTTGTGTGACCAGATAAAACTGAGAATAACTGAGTATCGATATAAATTTTCCATTTTTACGCTGGTAGATCGCAATTCTAGCAAAACGTGCTCTAATTTTCAACCCACCATCACGAGAAAACGATTCGTTTTCGAGACTATTAACCTCCGGAAAAATTTATGTGGAAATTCGGCTCGTCAAATCTGGATTAATCGTGTGTGTATACGACTTACTTATGGAAAATACACCGAGATATATTATTTCCAAATTTATGCGCGATCGTTTTATATATAAAAATCCGCTCCACTTAAGATATCAAAAGCCGCGTGTACTCGATTGTTTTCAATATTTTAGGTTTAACGGCTTTTCTTCGGCTCTTGTCAAAATCGATCTCCGCCGCGAAAATAACTAATTATTAATAACTTCGCAATTCAATCTTGCGAATAATTGAAAAAGATAGTCCGCGAGATGATTAACGTTCAATCATTAAGTTCCTAATGCCGGAAGCGTCTGAAATATCACACTTACAGTCGATAAATAATTCAGCGCGTGAAATTCGATTTATCTGCGCGCAAGCAAACTTAATTAACGTTTCAAAGGAACTTGAGTAATTAAAGCGAAATTAATGTGCAGTTTACTGTAAATGTATGATTTATCATCGTTTCGTGTTAGTTGATGAATAACCTTGACGATAGATGCCTGCGAGCATTAAATAGTGCCTCTCAGGTGGTTTGCGTACAGAATAAGCGTATAATTACGCATAAGTATATTTCACGTTAACATGTACTTTTGATATACGTGAGACTGGTGTCGGCGCTAGCACAACGTATTCTCTGGATAAATTTTACTTTCAAATTTATCCCGCGAAATATCGCGTTTTTTTACGGCATTTGAATATACTGGTATCACTGACAGACTCCCCTGTTATAAATAAGGCGTTACTCTGCCATAAAAGGCAACAAGATGTCATAGTTTTACAGGAGCCATAAATCACGAAAAAAGCTGTTTCGCGTATTTTGCTTTGTATTTTTCCTACTTCACTGCCCACGGTAATTCCGTTCATGCTCTATTTTTGCTTCTTTCTTCTAGCGCCGACCCCACTTAAAAATATTATGAAAAATTTGCTTAATGCGCTACCGCGCTAAAAGCAGCACGACGTCAGCTCTTATGAACTGTGCCACGGCAGGGCGTGGAGAATATAGTATCTCGGAGAGAATTTGTCAGGTCCTTTAAAAATAAAAATCTTTCTTTTTGGTACTTTGGCAATTTTATATTGACGATTTTACACAGCTGATGTTTCTTTCAAGTGAAATTATTATCGTGACTGTACCGGTACACCTGATTCAACATGTTTGCTCGTCCCAAATGTCATACTTCTTTTGGCCGATGAAATGTTTCGGACAAGCTGTTTCAAAATGAACAAACGAAACTCGCATTTTGCGAAAATACGCGGTAGTCTTCTCTCGGCTATGGCGATATTGGATTAAATGTGATATATGTGCTTCTCGTATTACTTCCATTAATGAAAATTACACCGCGGCGTAACATATTCACGGACTTCTCAAGTGCCAGTAGAAGTTTACTCGATGTAAGAAATAGATCTGATATTTACATAGAAATGAGAGAAGAGAAAGAACTTTTAGATATAACCAGTGTTTTCAGGCTCCTCCAGTCCAATTAAAGTATGACGCGCAAAATAACTACTATATGTTAAAAAGCAAAAGTAAAAGCATAAGAGAAAATGTAACAGGAACTAAAATGTGCAATAATAAAAAGAAATCACGACAACACTCTATTACAAACTTAACAACTTTTCTAACGAAGACATATCGTTATATTTTGAATTATACTCGGATTTCTTCATGAAAAATAATTCCTCGATGAAAATATTAGTTAACAATCTAACTCATCCTATCGTATGCATCTTGAACTTTGTTTTTTTTTTTTTTTTTTTTGTTAAACGATCAAATTTTACAAGCGCGTACGCGCGCTCACAATGAACATTAATCCAATGTCACCATTGTTAAATTCATAGACTCATCTTTATGTAACAGCAGTTGTGTCACACACAAAACCACCGAGTTGAAAGAGGAGATCATTAATAATAACCGAGACGACCGTTCTCACCGAGCTGACATCGCGCGGCTTTCGACGTGATTCTCTATGCAAAATGCTACGTAAAATAGACCGCGGAAAGAAAACGTAAATGAATTAAGAGGAGGTATGAACGTACCAACGCCATTAGACTGCGACGTTGGGAGTTGCACGGCGACGCCGAAGCCGCGCAGCTTCACCGGGGCGGAATTTTCCTTGCCAGCTAGCAGGGCGCACTGCGGCTTCAGGTCACGATGAATAATGTCGTTCTCGTGGCAGTAACGCAACGCTTCGAGGATCTGTCGCATGTAGTGACTGCAAAAGAAAGCGCAGTTTTCTTAGGCGCCGTTGCTTGCACCTGCACGACACGGCTGGTACGCCCTTAGCCCGGAACAATGGGGAAAGGCAGTGCGAGACGGAGGAACATTCCCGGGACAAAGAGCGAGTTCTTTCCGAGATTTTAAATAGAGCGATTAAAGTACGCCTCGTTACGTGAAGGAATGATTTCGCGCCACAAAGTCCCTCAAAAGTTCCGACCATCTCTCCCTCGCGGGAGGCGAGAGCCCGGAGTACGGCGAACAATGACGATACGAATCTAAATTACAGATTAGATCGCGCGAAAGTTCGACGCGCAAGAAAGAATGAAACAGTAATATCGTGTAATGTTACTCTCTCGAGTTACAGCGTACGAGACCATATCGGAAGGGGAGATACAGCCTTTATAATAAGTGAATTTAATTAAAGATTTCCCTCGATTCCTCCTTCGTGAGAGAGTACATTTTAGAACAACACTTCTCAAGTACGCGGTCGATTATAATAGAAAATCTTTTGATGTACTTGTCTCTTGCAAGTTGTGGAAAAGGAACACGGACCGTTTCTAGAAGGAAAAATCTCGGAAGCACAATACAACAAAAAGTATAAACAGAAAATGATGAGAGATACATACACACACATACCGTGCATCACATGAACAAAAAAATAATGCGCTTCTTTCTTTACTGTACTCGTGGCGCTTATGCTGTATTAATCAAAGCAGGCTTTGATACGATATCGTGCTGCACGGTACACACGGTGAATACATGATATTCATGTGTATTCGACATGTGATATTAGCGAGTTGAAATATGTCTGATGCTGGGGAACACGGTAGAAAAGAAAGGCGGGTGATTTAAAAGGACGAAAATGAAGCGTCCGAGAAGTTATACCAACGTCAAATAATGCCTTCATTAATTCTTCAAACATATTTAAGCGCACGCTTTATGATTTTTTAAAAAATCACAAAGATTATTCACGATGCATAGCATTCCGTGTATTTTGCTTTCATATTTGAGTATACTTTGTACGTCTTCTATCAAAGATATAAAAGTAACATTTGAGACGAGTTTTAATAGGATCTTTTTTCGGGATGAAGAATACTGGTAGTCCAAGCGTGACATGAATGAATATAGCGAATCTAATGGATCGCAGTCGAGGATTTATTGAGACAGGGATTTATTACAACCCAGGGATACCATCTCGAGAGGATCCGTTTGCATTATATCGAGGTGTAACATACAGACGGTAATCACATTTCGGTACAAGCTCCAAGTAGAGGCAGACACACGCCCGCGCAGAACACACAACTCGGAAAGCGCAATTAATTTGTCAGATTCGTCTCGTCTCGATATGTCTCGTCTAACGAAGCGTATAAATAAATTAGAATAATTTCCATTAAACACGTGTATTAACTAGATGAAACGCGTTTCTGCCGAAAGTGATATTTCATCGCCCGATTTCTAATCCGAAGGATTTCACGATCATTAAGAAAAAGATGTAGCAAGAAAATTTAGAAAAAAAGAATGACGAAACTGATGAAAAGAATTCGCGACGCGTGGCGAGGATTCTGGAAACGTTTAACGCAAAGTAGCGCGGAATATATTCTCTTATGCAATACTCGCGCATGCACGGCACGATGCCAGCACGTCGCAATACATACGTCCGAAGAAAATGATGCTGGTCTTAACTTTAGTAGATAATGTTCGTATGGATGTACTGTCTGCGGTGGATTCACGATGTGTTCGCGGTGTGTTCAGAGAAAGGAGTGAGGGATGGAAGACAGAACAGAGGAGAAACAGAGGTGCGCGATGATACATGTAATGAATTTTCTTACCTAGCAACCGCCTCGCTGTATACGAATCCAGCAGTTGCTCGTCTCACAACCTCGAAGCATAAATCAGAGCCGTCCATACTGAAAGAGAGTCGCAGGAAGGTGTTATTAACATACCACCCTCGGCATTTTCAATCAGAATATTGCATGTGTCATAACGGTGTCGTAATTAACCATAAATACGTTCAGGTAAATATGACATGGAAATACTTACCGCGCAGAACAGAAAAACATTTACAGAGAAGCTGCAAATATTACATCTTGTGAATATGCTTGGCATATTTCAGACCTTCTGTAATATTTTTATTTCGTCAATTCGATATATATCTATTACTCGTATCGAATATACGGCCGAACATAAATGTGAAATACTCCGTGCACGACCAATCTGCGAAAGATTATCGATGAAAAAAGAAAAGGGTACGCGCGCGCTGCGATCAATCGTACGGCAATCGTGTATTGGCAACGATGAAATATTGCTGCCGATAAGTATTTCCATGTAGCAAATGAAACGTGCATCGTGAAACTAAAGGAAGTAACAGAGTGCGGCAGAGTGTATTATTTAAAGTCTCGTTAAAAACCGCCTTGAGCCCCCCGAGTCTATTAAAAACCGTGGCTATCTTATCCGATAGCGTGGATTATTTCAAGAGTATCTCGGATGTGTGTATCCAATTATAGCGCAAACTAGTAGAACGTTATAATAGATGGCAAACAACCAAATGGAAAACGTGCTTTTCCCGAACAAAGATAGAATCGTTAAGGAAATGTCGCGAATTTTTCTCGACTCTTTCATTTTCGATGGTCGTGACGCGATCTCCTGCCCCCTGCGCAACGTATAACATAACATTCTGTCAGCCCGAAGGTAATAATCACGTCAGGAAGACTACAGAGTAGACTTGCTGGCATATAAAGGACGAGACTGACGTCCTTCGTTTCAAAAGTCGCTTTTCTAAAAAAAACCTAACCGGCTTAAAGTTCACGATTGACAGCGTACAACTATGATAATCTATGCTGCATTTTCTGCAGCCTTAATCTTACAAGGCTTAAAATTGCCGCAGTACTACGGGTGTAAATAAAGCGGATAGATAAATATTGTACACGGATATGGTATACGTAAACATGTTTGTTCCATAGATTGCTACCATCAAATCTCATTAACATGTTAAGTCACAAAAAAAGACACGATCTCTTACCAAAATATAAAAAATGTTCTTTTTCTGCATACTTACTATTCGAACACCATGTATAACATGCCCTCGGAACTGTAAGTCTCCAGTAACTCCACGATATGCGGATGTTTCAACATATGGCATATTGTAGCTTCCCGCTTCAAATCTAAAACATGCGAAATGTGGATTTAACACAACAGATGGTTTTCCCACATGTGAAACGTGTTTTGCACGGGGTGTGAATTTTAGTCGCGAAATAACGAGACCGTAATTCTTCAGTTTATTACGAGCGAGTTTTATTTCACTAGAAATTAAATTAAATTCGAAGTATGTAGTTACTGAAACATTAAAAGTTTTCTGAATTATGAAGGCGCAACAAATAACGCTCGGTCGAACTTTCGCTGTGACAAGATTACATTCGAATTAAACTTGAATCTTTAATGAAATACGTGACAGAACGTATGTACATTACGTTAAGATAAATAACATGAACTAATTATGAAGTAAATGTAATTTATACTCGGAAAGTAAATATCATTAATATTCACCAACTATATTCTAGTCTAAAATTTCAATACTGATTTATTATATTGCACCTATCCAAGACGAAATATTAACGTCATTATAAACTACAGTGCGAATATGCAATTAAAACTCGGAACAAAAGCAATATTTAAACGGAACGAATACTTTGAATATAGATAATTTTAAGCCTACTCCAGTTAAACGAAACTCCCGCTCTACCGTATCTGAAACAGATATAAAAACTTCATTTCCCAGATCGTTTTTACCAAAGGCAATTTAGATGCCGTATCTGCGTCGAGCTGCAATGGAATCTGTAGTCTCGAGCAAAGCCACTGGATCCAGTTATAGTGACGCATGCGATCGTATTTTTTAGATATACTAAATAAAAAAATATATTACAGAAAAATAATATAAAAGATAATTGCGATATTCATAAACGAGAACGTATAACTGTTTGAACGTATAACTGTATAAATATAACTGTATAATATTCCCGGGAATTTTCAGAATTATATTTATTTTTGCGTATGAGAACGCTAATATCAATTATTCCCCTTATTTAATTATTAAAAATTAAACTAAACTATTTAATTACTAAAATTATTGAAAATATTTTAACGTGCATTAATAAATTTCAATAGATAGAACGGGGGCGCCAAGACATCGCCGTTCCCGCCATTCATAAATTCTTTAACTAATTTAAACGGCAAAATATTAACCTCCTTGACAAAACTTTCGTCGCAAAATTACGCCGCACCGTTTTGCAACTTAGTAATGAAATATCGGCTGTAATTGAATATCGTATTAAAAGCGAATTTCTTTAAAGTAAATTTCATTTAAAATTAATTGGAGGATGAAGTTCTTCTTTCATTTCTATTTACAGCTCAGTTCGGCAATGCGTTCTTGATTGAAAGATTTAATTTGTCCAACGGAATCTCTCTCTCTCTCTCATTTTTTTCTACTTGGAAGATGCAACGACAGTTCAAGATTCTTATTGGCTTTTTTCTGACAATACCTTGTTATGATGAAGATTGAGAAATATACACTGACTTATATATTGCACAAATTTTTGTTATATAAATGCGATAAGATCATGTAACAAGTGTATTATGTGCGACGTGGAAGAAAACGAAACTTCGTAATATCCTGACATTTCCCTCTAGCGAAACAAATGTCTCGCCTCATGTATAGTTATAACCAGCCGTAAGGAGCGAAATATCAAACTCTGTTCGCATATGCTTCGCGGTATTCCCAAAGATCCCATGTGGGATCTCGGTGAAACACCTGCTTCGTTATTAACGACGTAATTCGTCGAGATATTTTCGGCATGGGAACTGCGTCCTTTTACTTCACGTTGTTAGCCATAACCCTATGACACAAATTGTTATATAATCGTTGATTATATGACGGATATCGCTTAAAAAATGGTTTCCTCCATCGTCGAGAAAATTCGAGCCAAATACCTGTTTACTAATTGTCCGTTCGCTAATGAGTTTACACGATATATTTAACATCGTTTCGCCATTCTTGCGTAGTCGGCAGAAATCGAATGTTTCTCTCATTTCTCGAAAAAACGCGCGCTTTAGTAAAGAAAACCGGTGTTGAAACAATGCTCGTCGTATATCGTCTCGGCCTGTCGGCCGATATGTTGGGTTAAACCCCCGAAAAATGTGCGCGGCGACAATGGTCCGCCTTTCCATTCAATTGCACAATGGTTCGCGCGGCGGTTCACGACTCAAATCCATGTTCCGTCGGTCGTATAGTAAAACGTTGTCGTACTCTGTCAGGGGGTGGGACAGAGAGAAAGAGGAGTAACACGCCTTGTTTCGAGCACACGATGAAGATTAATAGTTAGTTATTTACAAGAAAACAATACAAACTGTTGCTCGCCAATCTTGATGAGTCTCGTATGATGAAACGGTCCAATAACAGGAAATTTTCCCATATTTGCTCGTTTGGACGTTTGAAAAAAAATTGAAACAATTATTCCAAGCTAATTCAATATATCCGATTCAGTATTACAGAACTTCAATGCTACAGAAATCATAAAATGCACAAAAAGGTAATATTTCAAGCAAGAGCGCGCGCAGGATATTAAATGCGCTTCGTAACGATTCAATTTTTCTAATTAAAAAAAGAAGCGAAGCTATAAAATTATGGCGTCAATTATAAATGTATCACAAGAGCATTGAATTATCTTTTCTTAATCTGAATTATTTTTTCGTCATATCTTATTTGACGATATATTCAACCAAAGCCAAATATATCGAATTAGCTTTGGCTAACTGTTCCCAATTAGCTTCAGTTAACTGTTCCTGTTTCGAAGCGAAAATTCGCACAATGTCACGTACAAATGAATACGCGCGTCTCGTGTCAAGCTACTTCGCGTGGGCTACACGTCCGAAGCTCATCGACAGCGGAAAGAGACAACTTCGATCGTTAATTAGCAACGAATGTTGTCCCGTGCGCCAGCCACGTAATGTTAGACTCACCCGCGGTGCTGAGACCAGGACTAGAGGTGAACTTCGCCACATCGACGATTTTTACGGCGAAAATCTGCCCGGTCTGGCGGTGAATGCACTTGCGAACCACGCTGAATGGACCCCTGCAACAATGCGAGCGAGACGTCAACAATAATAATAATTACGCTCGCGGTGTAGTTCCTCGGCCAGGAATTACACGCGTTGTCGGGATAACTCGCGCGAATCGTAAATACGACGTGTCGACAGGTGGATCAATGCGGGCATCCGATATCGTATGGTGTTAATGCCCGAGGGAAAAGAGCAATGAGTTTTATCGGCAAAAAACTTTTGCACGTCTTTTAGCTTTTCTCGAATAAATAAAAGCTTTAACGTCGCGCGCGTGTCCGAGCGACTACGTCAAAAAATTGTCTTTATAAATAATTTATTCTTTCAATTCAAATCAATTACCAATTAGTTTTTGCTCGGTGTGTACATTTATTCACGGAGAGCTTCCAACCCCGCTAAAAATATGAGATGTGAAATTTACAGCTTATTGATTTCGATACACATCAGCCAAAAAGAAAAAAATCTTGAAGTGTACGAGGCTATTGTAAAAAAATGTTCGAGTTCCGGTGTTAAAGGATTAATATCTTGAGATTTCTTTGACATCGTTTTATCGACCAAGGTCATGTCCTTCCGGTCACCTGCCGCCATTTTTAAATGTCGCGTGCGCTGTGGCTCTTCACTTTTCCTACGCATGCATGTACTAAATTTGACGCGCTACCTTTGCAGCCATATAACAATTTCACGGAGCTTCAATTAAAATAGCGAACAGCAGAAGAGCCAGTTCGCATTAGTAAAATGCGTCAAATATTCATCTGCCAGATATGAAGGAGTTGCGATACCTTCAGTGAATTCCTTTGGTTAAGGGAAGGTACCTCAAATGAATTCCTTCGACTAAAGGAATTCACCTGCGGTACCTCCTCAATTTATCAACGTTTGACAGGTGAGAGAGCAGCAGCGTCATCGCGCATTATAACGCATTGTGACAATAAGATGATCTATATGAAGTCAGAGAACGATAAAAAATTTCGGAGATATTCTATGACGATCAATAAATCCAGCGATAAAGTGGTCTCTCCTAATACGAAAATTAACGAGGAAGAGCCTTTCTCTGCCAAGTCTAAAATATATCGTAGATTTTAAAATACATCATTCTTTCCTCGTATGCACGTATATTCGTCCAAGAGATGACCGATATATCGTTTTCAATAAAGCAACCATTTCTTAAAAGCTTGTCTAGCTATATTACTTGGCACTCATATATGTCTTATGGTTATCTTTAGCTGACATCATCAAGTGACATGTGTACACAGATAAATATCGAGTAAAATGTCGATATCTCGAAAAGAGAAGATCCGACATCAATTTGTGGTTTAGAAATAGAAGGAACGAGAAACACTAACATATATTTAGATTATCTGTTCTCAGATTGTCTCTAAGTCAAGGACAGAAATTGATAGCTGGAATTTCCAGATATCTTGACGCTGTATGACTGGAGCGGGTGAGATGCATGATCTTGAAACGGGCACGCAATCTGTGTGCGTACGAGTAGGTCACGTAATCAGGTGTGTACTTAAGGGTTCAAATCGGCGGTCTCGGTTATCCATCGAATGATAACCACGCGCGCATTCGTGGAATTCGTGAAAACCCACAATGGAGAATTGTATACGTATAGCTTAGGACGCAAGCATCTGTCCTTGCGGGTTGCACAGTGATTGATACATCATCGCATCGAACTCCTGCACGCGTTATTAATAAAGAGTCAATCGTGCAAAAGTTTTCTTTGTGTTTTATCTGTGTGATAATGCTGTACATTATTTTGTCGCGTCATCTATCGCGGCTTATGATCGCATACTTCATCTCCAAATCCTTCCAAAATATCAAATTTGAATTTCAAGAAGTGGAAAATAATCGAGACGACGTTGAGATGTTCCACGAAAGATACAGTATCATGCAAGCGTATTTTCTATTTGAAGAGCATAATCCATTGCATTCTTCGATGCATTCCTAACCTAAGACAATAAATCGATACGAAATACACTCTTGAGATACACTTTTGAAAGACTGTGCAGTCTCTCAAAAATATATCCGTGTAATTCGTTCGACACATCCGCTGACTGTCATCTCCGGTACATCGTCGAGCGCGTCAATAAATACATCCACTCCGTTTTTCATTGTTAAAAGCTCTCTTACAAGACGCGGCCCTCGAGTGCCTTAAGGCCTTCGTAAAGCGATTGGCACGACGACATAATCCGCCTTTTATGAGAACTTATTGACGTCTCGTCATTTTCTAGAGAGGGTCAAATACTCTACTGCGGCCTACATTCGAAACCGATTTCCCACTTGGGAGAAAATACGCATCCGAGCATCTTTTACTTCTCCGTCTGAGCGAATGCAATGCATATGTATATGTGTATGTGTGCGCGCGCACAATTTTAAATTTTTCGTTCGATCTCTCAGCGCACAATCGAGCGATACACTTCTGTTGCAAATAGATCGAGACTTATCGATCTGCAAAATTCCCTCTACACGTTCCCCGACATGATTAAATATCATCCTGTGCTGATATAACGTACATGAATAGCATTTCTTTTTATAGAGCGCACGTGGGTACCGATAGCGCACACGTTCTCACCGTCGTCTCGGATGCGTACTTAACCTCCCGGCCATTGTAAATTGAACCTCGAATCCGCCGCAATTGAACTTTGCCCGCCGTTCAATGTCAGTTAGGCCAAAGACTGTCGGGGAATATCGTGGCTACGTGCCTTCGCACGTTCATACAGAATTCTGTTCCCCGAAAACGGCAATTAGGATATCGGCCCGGCGTTCAACCTGTTTGAAATTTCACGTGGATCCAGATAACATGCTGCTCACGCCGTGGCCATAACTTATGTTAGCTCAACATAACTCGCCGCTGATTGGAACGCGCTGCGCCCAAATTGCTGATTTATAGCCTAATCAACAACTCAATAAAGCGGAGTTGGTCGTTTTACGCGACTGAAAGTCGTATGATCGGCCGTATGATCATATCTGTAAGAGAGCACCACATTCTCTTTATACTTCGAATTAGAATAATGCATACTCTTAGATCGAACGAAGATTAAAAGTCCAATCCAAAGCTCACTAGTTTTACAAAAGTTGCAAAGCAACTCTCTCTTTCTCTCTCTTTCTCTGCTGGTCGCAGCCACTGTACTTGACGTGCTACGATTATGTCGTTAACTTTTACTCGACAGGCGAATTATGAGCATCAATATAAAGCGTTTTCATTCGCAGTTTTCTTTGGAACGGAGGCGTCGACAGATCTATCGTAATTGCATCACGAACGTTGTCTCGTATACACACCAGCGGCATTCGGTGCCAGAATATATCGTCAAGATATGTCGGTCAGACATTAACATTCCATCTCTATCCCTCATTCGTTTCCGCGCTATTGAAGGCACGTAGACGCGACGGACACGGCCGACCGCGGCATAGGAAGACGGAGGGATGGGAAATTGAAACCGCTAAATGGGATTGTTAGCGAAACTCAGGAATAAATAACGTCCCCTAGCAGATGACGTTCGTGAGACTCAGCGGGGTTCGTTTAACCCGCTGAAATATCGCTTTTTCCTCCTGACCAACCATTCTCTCGTCAGGTTATTCAGTTTGCTTTAGTATAGCGCATACTTTCCGCAGTTACTGTTATCGATATATACAGATCACACGTGCTACGGCTAACCGAAACGCAGCACATAAACGCGGCACAGTTACTCGTCTCTCCCTTGACAGCTCTGTTAAACTTAAGTCGCGCCGTCGCGCTGATATTACGTAGCCTTCCTTCCATGTATTACCGTCATGAGTTGCTTATTACTTGGCGCAAGAGTTCGTAATAATGAGACTTACGGTCGATTTCGCCCGCTTCCCACAAATCCGAGAGAGTATTTGTTAAATTTATACGATGGCGTCTTGATGAACGGTATGTGTGAAGAATTTTAGCGCGTTCCTGTGTAAATACACGAGGAATTTTGATGATCCCACTGACTCCTCAAGTCGACCACATTTTTAGAGAATTTCATCTTAAGAAGTGGCTTGAAAAGGTTCAAAATATATAATATATACCAAATTATTAAAAGGCGTATTGTCTAATAAAACTCAATCGGCTCGTGTTATTCTTATATTTATACATACTAATCGCACTATGCATGCTTAATCATTTGCATCTCGTTAGGTAATTAGGACATATTCAAATTAATCAAATCAGACAGTACTTGCTTCTGGCAATATAATATACTCGTACACTAGAAAGTTTCGACCAGCCGTGTCCGTTTCTAGCTGATCGTTTTTCATGATTGCTGATTCATCCGACAAGCGGAAATGTGTGAAAATAAAAGTGACATTTTGACAGCTTGACGTTTCATACATACGTGTTTTTCTCAGAAGGTTATCTGCTCACGTGTAACGCGCAATCAGTACAAGAAAAGTAAGAATGTTAAAAAAGATAAGTAAAAAGTTTTTACTTAATTCTAATAAAGTAAAATGTTTATTAATAACGAATAATTTAAAAGCAAATCGCGTGAAAATATTAAAAGCAGAGACGTTTTGTGTCTGTATGTGTATAAATTTATTATAATTTTGTATATTAACTTCTTACTTACCTTTTTTAACATTCTTACTCTTCTTCTACTGATTTCGCGTTACACGTGAGCGGATAACCTTCTGATAAAAACACGTATGTACGAAACGTCAAGCTGTGAAAATATCACTTCTGTTTTGACACATTCCCGCTTGCCGGATGAATCAACAGTCATGAAAAATGATTAGCTAGAAACAGACACGGTTGGTCAAAACTTTTTAGTATGGTAGCACACGATGTCTACGCTTTAGAAGCAATGAGTCGTAATATCGTGTCGTCGAAAATCTTTTCATAGCGTCGGCGCCGAGTAACGATGAAGTCGAGTGAATCTTTATGCTACAGTTTGGATATGCAAAGTGCCGCAAGGCTACCGAATGTCCTTTTAGTCGTAGACATTAAAGTCTGAATTGAAACGAAAGATCGCCCTGCAAATTCGCTAAAAGAAAAAAAGAAGAAATTACGAGCGACATTTTTATCTGGAATGCGTTTACATTCCAGCGCCGTTTCCGCGTAACTGAAGCGAACATGATTTGTAAGTAACGAACGTTATCTTATACATACGGCAGCATGATAATCGTACAAAATTCTTACAAGTTTATCTCTTCTTATATACGCAGGTACCTCACCAGCTGACAAGTGTGTGAAATTTTCCAATCTGAACTCAAACGGCTTCTTCTTAACCGTACAACCAGTCGGGCGTGGTCATGTTGGCGGTGGTCCCGTTTCTTGCATATGTCACTTGGACACTTACAATCCCAGCCAGCGTTGGTAATCCAGTTTCTTTCGTAATATCGCCAAGTGTTTGCGCGCGAACATGTTTTACAGTCTCGTACTATCACTTACTATAATAATTCTCAGATGCTGGCTGTACGATCTCCATACGATACCCAGGCGGCGATCTTAAGGAGCCTCAACCGTTAATCCTGACATGGAAAAACACGAGTTTCCTGTATCCGAAGAACGACGATGAGATATTACGAATACATACGGGAGATACCATATATCTGGCGTGTCCAGGCAAGAATAATTATCTCAACAATGAATTGTGGGGTAGCGAGGCCGAAGTTACTTGTGTACGGAATAAGCTATTTCGCGTCTCTACGAATGATCGCTCTCAAGGTGGTCTCTATGAGTTTTCGGCCTTGGTTTGCGCGAAGAGCCCTACGGATATTACCCGAAAAAACTTAAAAACGACAGCGCAAGGTGGCATCTGCAGCCACACCTCCGTTGACATTGGTTTCAAAGTGAGCAACACCTTCATCCCTACTTTTGAAATATGTCGCGACGACTCGAGGTATATGACGTATTTTGCGAAGTCCCGCATAACAAGTCATATCGGCAATTTGCAGAAAAGTTATCCCAGGTAAGGTCTCCTAATTATGAAACATTCCACTAATCCTTTTCCGAGAAAATTCTTGGATAAATTTAAATGTTCAATATCTTCTCGTGAAAGGATCACACTGAAAGAAAAATTACTTTCGGCGTCAACTATACTTTTTTGTGATTTTAACCAGAAAAATAATTAGAAAAACCATCTTTCTAATAACACCTACTAAAACAATGGTTCTTCTAATTATTTTTGTGGTTAAAAAAAAATGCGTATAGTTGATGCCAAAGACAACTATATTTTTCTCTCAATGCACAGATATAATAATTTTGAGAATATTCAAATAAAACACACAAATCTACGTCGTATAATCACGTAAAATAAAAATATCATATTTTGTAATTCAATTACGATGAGCACTTAACAGAGCTATCTTTTATCATTTTAAAATAATTATGATTACGATATGACTATTATGAAAGGGGACGCAAGCCAAAAAATGCACACTTCTTGCATTATGTGAACGTTATATTATGAAAGAAAATATGAGGTCGCGCTCAGTCAACGATTGCATGTTTCAGGCCACAATTCAAGCAAGGGACTTTTTATAAAGGAATAAGTGTAGACAATTTATATCAATTCAATACCCAAAAGGAAATGCTCACTAGAATCCTGGGATCGTCCGAGTTGGTGGAAGAACGATTGCAAAAGTCGGTGCAGTACCTCGCTCGCGGTCATTTAGTGGCCAAAACGGACTTCGTGTATGGCTCCCAGCAAAACAGCACCTTTTGGTTCCTAAACGTCGCACCTCAGTGGCAGACTTTTAATAATGGCAATTGGAAATGGCTGGAAAACAGCGTCAAAGACTTTGCCAGCAAACGGCGATTGGAGCTCGACGTTTACACGGGAGTACACGGTCAAATGACCATGGAAGATATTGACGGCGTGCAAAAACGCATATACTTGTTCCCTGAAGATGAAATATTGCCCGTACCCAGGTACTTTTGGAAGATCGTCTATAATCCATTAAATAAGCAGGGTGTCGCGTTTGTGGGCCTGAACGATCCCTTCGTACAGTCAATTACAAACAACTTAAAAATCTGCACAGATATCACCGATCAGATCAACTGGGTAAAATGGTCTCCTAGCAATATCACGGCTGGTGTTTCTTACGCCTGCACCGTTAACGAGTTACGAAATAGGGTGCCTGAAGTGCCAAACCTTCGTGTAACCGGTCTCTTAAAGTAACATAAAAACGAATCAGTCCGGCAGACTCCGACTTTGTACATGTCGCCGTCAGATGCGAAATAATAAAATTTGCAATCGTGACGGATTAATTCTTATGATTTTAAATATTTTCTTTATATTTAATGTACTTAAAACATTAACGTGAGTCACTATTGCGGAAGATATTTTATGATTTATATTAGATATTGGCGAGAAAGTTGAAATGCATTTCGTACTATAAAAATTATCTTAATGGATATATGAATTTGACGTCTCATTTGTGATATTTCTATCTAGAATATAGAAGATCTAGATAGTTCAGAATTACAGTAAACCTATCTAATAGAGAGAACGTCTGATAAAGCTTGTATGGAAGAAACTGAATCGAATCGCAGTGACCCGTATGTCGGCTGGCCGATTTCCAAAATGCACCATAGAGAGAGAGAACGTAACGTCTCAAGAACAAATGAGTTATTAAGCGGATGTGCTACGTAGACGCGAACCGGTAACATGGGGATACAACTTCTTATTGAGACGAATTGTCCTGGAGGAATTATTTCCATTACGTTGTAGCAAGATTCACTCGTGCATGTTGCACCGAGATATCATATTAAATATTAATGATGTTGAGAAATTATGCGTTGACATCCGACACGAGTCAACTTTATCTCGAGCTCGATAAGACAACATTTATTTTTCAAGATTAAAGTTCTCGGACTGTTATCTGCGTCATAATTTTGTAAGAGGACTCGTTCCTCACAAAAAAGATATCGGATATCTTTTGCAGACCGAGAGAGAGACGCGTCGAACATGTACGTGCAAACAAATGACGAAGTTCTACGTTAATCGTTAAAAAAAATGTAAACTGAAATATCACGTTACGATAGAATGCCAAATCGTATATCATCGCTGTACCGATAAAGATATGTACAACACGGAACGAAAATATTTGTAGACCGCATTCACATATGTATGATATGTGTTTATATCATTCGCGTATTGTTTTAAGCTTACTGATTGCTTCACGATAGAAGTAGATAAAAGTTCTACGTGCAATAGTTAGAACAGCAACAGTAATAAAATATAATGTGCACAAAAAATAGTATAGACTAAAAAAAATTGCAATCTATACGAAACTTTATTTACTTTACTTTTACTTTATTTACTTCATGTATCTAATGGCGACATATACGTATTAAGTGTTATAAAAAGAAAAAATCATTCCGGCATTTAACTATGACAATTTCCTCTCTTACATCTTCCAGCAGCAATATTAAAAGCATTATTATCAGAATTATGACACAATATTTTTTAAAATAAAAGGGGCAACACGCGCGCAAAATATATTTGCGCTTCCAAGTTCATTCAGAAAAAATTCAATTCGAATTCATCACATATCCAATATACGTGTTCGTATTACGGTAATTTTGTTACAAATACTGAAGTAAAATACAATATCCCAGCTAAATGAGAGAGCAAATTGTTAAATAAAATATAGAAACAACATCAAATATTAATATTCGGTGAATTAACACATACAAATGTTTTCCGGATTATCTTAAATTACAAAAAAATACTACGTCCTCCGAGCTTAATGACGCATATTTGAAAACATCAAATTGTTTGAGACATACGACTATTCCTACGTAATACGTTCGCTCATGCTCGCAAGCTGCAAAGTTAATACTTTCCTGATATGCCATTTTCTAAATCTAATATTTGTCTGAACATTATTGTTCGTACGTCAAACAATCTGATGTGTGACAGCACACAATGTTGTAACGTTATCTAAAGGGGATCTGACACAAAAGTTTGGGCCGTATAATTAAGCTCAAGGATAAATTCCATCGGTAAGAATTTAGACTGACTTTTGAAGAACGTAAGCGAGAGAACATACGGGACCCTCTTCCGTCCGATAGTTCGCGAGAGAAATGAAAAGTAGGGCGAGGATCGTAAAAGCAGAGCATGCCGCCTCGTATCTCGCCTTGTACGTGTCCGCATCGAGATTTAAACCCGTCGGAGCATTCTGGGGATTTCTCGGTGCTTTCCCTCTCCAACGGAACGATGGAGAGCATCGAGGTAAGAGCGTCGAGAGTCTCTGTTCGATAACTCCGATTCTATTTTCACAACAGCCCCCGATACAACTGATTCTATTTATTAGGTGACAAGTCAGATTTGCCAGAAACGACTTGCGCGATGTTAATTGCATCGTTGCTCTCGTGCGACTGTAATCACTTTGAAATGTTTCTATTTGATTTACCGAAAACAAAATCGGTCGTACGATATGTATAATTGCGAGACTCGGTTGCGAAGTTTGGGCAGTTATAGTGTGAAAGATAATCAAGAAAAGGTTGTGTACATAGTCTCTCGTAAAGCGAAATTCGTTGCAGCTGCGGAAAAGTTAACAAAGCGTTGCATAGCAATATTTATTTAACCGATTTGGAACTCAATTACAAGCGGCGCGTTGTCGGAGATTGCGAGAGAAAATGACAATTTCAATAGCCACGAAATAAACGACACAGAAGAACGAGAATACATCGTCGCGTATGAAAACGCTGTGTTTCGAAATATCTTAACCCTCTCGCTATCAATGAGATATATGTTTTTCTCATTACTAATAATAATCTTATTTAATTAAATAATCAATTTTTTTAGCATTTAGAACACATATCACTTATCGTTCTACTTATTATCATTGAAGCAAATATACCCGCTCAAAAATCTCAGTGGGACATCAGCGTCCTGGCCCTCTCCTTTTAGCGCCAAATATAAAACTTCTAATTTTTTTGCTAAAACTATATTATATTAATACATTTAATAAAGTAAAAAAAAAGTTGTACATTTTTAAAAAACAAAATTGTTAATGAAAGAGTTAAAAACGGAACAAAACCCCGCAAGCAGTTGATTGAAAGGGAACAATTTCTACGATGCGAGACTTTAGAAGAACCATTTGTGTGAACGATAACTTGCAGCACTTAAGCTCAATTGACTCAGAAAAGAGCGTCGACTGTGCGACTTCAATTAGCTGTAACGAACGAAGAATGCACCACTTCTCGATAACACCATGCTGAGGTTAATTGACGGGCACCCATAGCTCGTGTGGGCGTATACTCTTGTAGGGCAATCTTCGAACTACCTTTATCAAAACGTTTGTGCACAACTTGTCACGCGACAAAACGCGCTTCCATCTAAACGCACAGTTTAAGAAATCGATATTAGTAAGAGGATAATGTATTATAGATAATTTTTAAATAATTTCAAATTTACTGAATATAGTTCGGAAGGATAAATTACATTAACGCGAACTTGCGATTCATAATTAAAAAAAACTTCTTGTGTGTATGTGGACAATATATAAAAATTGCTTGCACGTTTCATACTTTCTTTCAGTCGACTCATGAACGCACACTTTAATGAGTTTGAAAAGTTTGATCGCGAGGAGCACAATTCGTTGTTGATATTGGCTTTATCAAGGTCTCTACTCGAATTCGCGACTTTCTTAATTTAGATAAATTAATACTGGATAATTGATTTGGTATGTCTTAATGAGTAATATTGGCCTTCGCCACAAGAATATTACGAATAGTGTATGCTACTTATTTCTCAGTCATGGCGAAATCTATTACTATACAAGGACGGAACTTAAAATAGAATGCATCATTAACGCTAGGATAATGCAGATTTACCGTACGGGTTCGACGTGATAACGTGCAATTAATATTATGTTGGCGCAAAGGTATGACGAGAGGTATCGTGTATAAAATATCTTATTTGAATTTTGTAAAGATATACAGTTGAGCAATAAATTCAATCGCGGTATATTAATTTCGATTTATACCATATTCCGCGTGCATTTTCTTTTTAAGTATTAACTAATATAAATATCAAATTAATGTAAAAATCACTGTTGAACTTACAAACAGCAGTTTTAAAGCATCGCATTAACACCGATTAATTTCCTCACGCATGTTGGTGCAATCACTTAATTATATTCAAAATATAATATTCAAAAACAAACCAATATTAAAATTACGTTACCATCTAAAAGATAAAGAAAACACACATTCACAAATGAAAAGAATATGAGCGTTAACTTATTGCACCTGATGGATTAAATGTAGTCAATAGGGAATTCTGAAACTAGTCGATAAATATATGTATTAGGAAACGCATATATATATATATATATATATATATATATATATATATATATATATGTATGTATGTATCGTAATTATGGTTATTCAAACTCTACTTGAGTTTGGAATAATTTATGGAGATCAAAGTATTGATAGCAGCTCAATAATTGGAGATCAAGGTATTGATAGCAGCTCAATAATTCCAAACTATAAGCAGTTTAGACAGAGAATAAATCTGAGCCACAAGTCGACGATCATCGAGTGGTCTGCAGCCTTTGTGATGCGTATTTGGACACAGTCAGTGCTAGTGACATGTATTATTTTGGCATGAAGGTTGGCCAATTGAATGATAAATCAAGTATTGGCTTCCGATACCGAACGAAATTGCGCTTCTGTGACAACAGTATCTGCTTTTTGGGCTATAGTCTTTCGGCAGATTAAATAAACCGTTCCGATAAAATCGATTATTGCTAACATAACGACACACGAAAGTGACAAGAACCCGAATTGCGATTGAACTTTCTACCATCGAAAATTTCGCATTAACAATAAAAATTTTTATTTACTTCTACTATTTAGCTCGCGTAGTATCGACCGGTGTGACTTTGCGAAACTAATTGTTTGTTAAACAATGCACTCTCAACGTAGCGCTACGTCGACTGAAGCAATAAACACGATTCATATATATTCAAGCTTCTGAATATTCAAGCTTCTCCGCAAATAAACGATTAAGTTTTCACTCTTTTGCAAAGTCGCATGGTAGCATAATTTTCTATGTTTTTCCAAGAATATTTGAAATTAATACTTAATTAATACTAATTGAAATACTTAATTAATATTAATAACTACTTGAAATTAATCTACAATATAGTAATATATCTACAATATAGTAAATATATCTACAATATAATGTTTTCGGGAATGTACACATTAGAAACTCTCTACGACAGATGTCTGAACGCGATCTATAGGGTAACTGTCCGAATAACAAAACTTCTCCGGTATGTTGCTCGAACTTTAGACGTCTACCGTTTGACGTGATTATTCGAATCGTCTTCAAAATGATCTAAAACACAATTCAAGATCGATACGAGTTCAGTAGGCACACGGATGTTCCTGCATTTTAATAACGCGCACTGTGATGCCAATTGTTCCAACTTTTTGGTAAATTAACTGATAGTTAAATCGTATGTCTGTCTTTATTTTTCCTTCAATTTAGACGAAGACATATGATTTAACTATCAGTCAAAAATTTTTCATATATAATTATACATAATTATATATTATTATGTATCAAATTTGTGCATTCATGTTCATACATTCTACTTATATATATAATTATATATAATTATGTATAATTATATCTATAATTTCACATATAATTTTACATAATTATTCATACAATTATGTGTAATTCTACATATGATTGTATACAACTGTGTATAATTATATATAATTTTATATGATTATATATAATTATACATAATTATGTATGGACAAATTTTATACATAATTTTGCATGAAAAATTTTTTATCGGGCATAACATTCAGTTGCGGCTATGTAACTCAAATGTAAAAAAGTTATATAAGGAATATATTGTAACAGTTACATTACATTTCTGTAATTTTAATGTCTTTTTCTACATAACTGCCGAGTCACTACATTCAAATACTGTTATATAATCAGTCAACTGGTCTTATATGTAAATATGCGGAACGCTTCTAAACTCACTTCAACCAAGTAGTGACAACAAGAAAGACGGATTCGAATAGTACGAAATTAGACACATAGAGAGAGAGAGAGAAAGAGAGAGAGAGGAAACTCATTTACCCCAAAATCAAGTTAACGATAGTAACGGTTTGTTCGTTATCCTCCCTCATATGATTATGTGTTGATGCAATTATAATGTAAAAGCTCGCGAATCAACGCAATCGAGATTATGACCTGCATGGAACTGAACGAATACTAAGCGTTTATTTGTTGTCATAGTTAACTTACTGTGATCGCCAATCAATCCCAATAGAGTATTTGAATAAGGTATGTGTATGTATATATAGTGTAGTACGTGTGTGCCGAGTATTTAGAGAAATTTATTAATGATATTGCATCCGTCCTGAGAAAGATATAAAGCGTAACTCAAGACTGATATGAGTCTGGTAGACACGTAGATGTTCCTATGTTTTAATGCCACGCACTGTAGTGCTTTAAATCTAAATATGCGAAACGGTTCTAACCGCACTTTAGCCAAGTAGTGACAAACAGTAAAAATTGAGTAGTACGAAATTGCACAGAGAGAGAAAGAAAACTCGCTTACCCCAAAAATAAATGAACGACAGTCACAGTGGCAAGGTTTATCCGCTATCTTCTTTCATATAATTATGTGTTGACACGATTATAACACAAAAGTCCGCGAAACGAAGCGATCGGGATCCTCGCCTGCACGGAAATGAACGAGTACTTAGCGTTGATTGGTGCTCATGGTTAGTCTCCAGAGATCGTCAGCTAATCTCAGTAGAATATTTGAATATGCGTATGTATATGTGTGTATGCGATAATTAGAGAGATTTGTTAATGGCATAGAATCATTTTTAGAAAGATATAAGACGTATTTCAAGACCGACACGAAACGATAGATACATAGATGTTCTTGCGCTTTAATGCTGTGTACTGTAGCATCCTAAATCTAAAGATCTATTCGTTTCAATTGAACTACTTTTTGGTGTTGGAGAGAGTGAAACAGATATATAATTCAGCGTTGAAGGAAAAGGAACAAAGTTCCAGTAAAGTACTAGTGCAGCTAAAAAGTAAAAAGGTCTAATATTCACCGAACGCTTCTAATCTTACTGCGGCTAAGTAATGACGAATAGCAAAGACATATTTGAATAGTATGACATTGTGAGGGAAAGGAAGAAAACTCGCTTATCCCGAAAGTAAACTAACGGAATAAGCAAATAACAAACTTTCCCTGCACGGAAATGAACGAGCGCTTAGCATTGATTGGTGCTCATGGTTGGTCTCCAGAGATCGTCAGCCAATCCCGGTAGAGTATTTGAATGTGCGTATGTGTGTATGCGAACGATAATTAGAGTGATTTGTTAGTAGCATAGAATCGTCTTTAGAAAGATATGAATATATAAAGCGTAATTCGAAACTGACATGAAACAATAGGTACATAGATGTTCCTGCACTTTAATGCTATGCACTGTAGCGTCGTAAATCTAAAAGTCTCTTCGTTTTAGCTGAACTACTTTGAACTTTTTGATGTTGGAGAGAGTGAAACAGATATATAATTTAGCGTTGGAAGAAAAGAGACAAAGTTCTGGTATAACACTAGTGTAACTAAAAAGGACAGACCTAATATGTATCGAACGTTTCTAACCTTACTGCAGCCAAATAATGACGAACAATAAAGACAGATTTGTATAATACGATATTGTAAAGGAAAAAAAGAAAATTTGCTTACCTCGAAAGTAAATTAACGAGATAAGCAAATCGGAAACTGCACTTGACTGCACGAAAATGAACGAGTGTTTAGCGTTGATTGGCGCGATTAATCTCTAGAGAGTGTCAGCCAATCTCGGTGGAGTATTCGAATATATGCATTTTTGTATTTATGTATATACATGTTAAGTAGAAAAACTTTCTGATGACATCATTTATTTTCACATATTTAGCATGTTACGGCTTTAAAACTACTCCAGATTATGAAAATGAATATTTAGGTATTTTCTTTTAGCTGCGTTAGATTACATTTTTTACACTCGGGATAGTCTGATATGCAGACTTTGAGAATCTCAATCGCGGCATGTTCAATCGGTTGCGGAATCGACGTCATGTGCAGGTTTGTTAAGGGGATAGTAAAACTGAAAACTTTGTCGACAGAACACTGACATTTTTCTGTAAAGTTTACGTCGTATTGGTTACACAGAATTACAAATGGTTTTACGCAATAAAAGTACGTGCAAAAATAAATAAGAGCATTGTTTGATATGTGATGAAAACGAAAAAAAAATTTTAAATGTAAAATCTCCAGTTGTCAGCGTAATATTTGCCGAATATAAAAGTTCCGCAGCTTGTACATACCGAAAGTGTGGATGCTCTAAACAGAAAAATTTTGAAGAACATTGTTCTACCTTCGCATTTGCACTTGGAAGCTTAAAAATATCGAAAAAATTTGCAGAAAGATTTCTATACATATATGATTAGGTTTTTCGTTGAATATGGTAAAACAAAGCAATACACATTCATATAGGTTCTGTATATACAAGAAATACGAAAAGGATAGTGTCATTATATCAGTGACGATCGTCTCTGCATTATCGACATTGTTCGAGTTCGTCATCGACTCCAGCATCCCCTTAAGTCGCTCTGCATTTTCCGCGACTTCGGCTTGCTAAAGGAGAGTCTCACGTGCGTATTGTCATCGAGAGTGCCAAAGGTAAGAGTGGTGCGTTTATTATAGAAGAATATATCATTAAATAGCCATCAAAAGTGAATACTCGCGACACTTGTTAGAACATGCACATTCGTTCCTTTACGGTAGCTCGGAACTTGAGTCGTTTATCCCAAATATTTTAGATTCATGGAAAGATTTTTGCGAGATCTCTTGAGAGAATTATCGCCACGAATGCCGAAAATAACACGAAAAAAAAAGATTTGCTATAAATGAATAACTAAACATAATTTGCTGTGTTAGCCACTTTTTCTTTGCTGCAAGACCCAATTTTTTTGCTAGGATAACAAGAAAATCTGCTCCTGCAACAAAAAAAGTAACTAAAGCAGTAAATTATATTTAGTTGTCCATCTGTAACAAATTTTCTGTTAACCACTTTTCTTACTATAGGAGAAAATTTTCTTGTTATCATAGCAAGGAAATAGGTTCCTGCAACAAATAAAAAATAACTGACACAACGAATTATGTTCAACTGTCCATATATAGCAAATTAGTTTGCTGTTGCAGCAAATCCTATTTTTCTGCGAAGATTTGGACGTTTGGTACAGAGAAGTATCGGCAAGCGAATATCTCGGGTAACGGGCGCCGCTCGTGATGTCGTGTGAAATATGGCATCCATTGAGATATCCTAATTACTGCTATGACGTAGCAGGTTTGAAAAATGGTGCGCGCGCGCCAATCGTACACGTTCGAAAAGTCGCTTTGTATTTACCGCGATTTCGGCTCGTCAGAGATGAGTCTCACGCGCGCATTGTCGCCGGGAGTACTGAAAATAAACGTCGTGCGTTCGTTACGGAAGGATATCGTCAAGTAGCGACCGAGATATTTCGTAAATCTGTTTACCGAAATGTCGAATAAAAGTTCGTACGTTTGTCTCATTATGAGATAGCCCGAACTCACGTGACCGTGTATTTACGTTGTTGATCCGTAGAGTGGGTTTTGCGCGAGGATTATTGGCGGGAGTGCCGAAAATAAAGTTTCGTGCGTTTGTCGTGCAAAACATCAAGTGAAGTTGAATATCGTCCGAATCTGACTCGTAAATACTGAATGGACAATCGCTTGTTCGTTTAGCCAGGTTATGGAAGCTCAAGCAACAAATCTTCAAATCGCTGAGCTCTACTTTTTCGACCGGCTAAAGGAAAAGTCGGTAAGCACTAAGTCGTATTCCTTTTACGAATTTAATTGCAGTCAAATAAAATGATTGATAGTTGTCTTTAAAGTACAGAAAAATGAGCACGTTGCATAAAATTAAGAGTTATAAGAAAACATATAAAGTATACAATAAATAACATATAAAGTATGCTTATATTATGCTTAAGAAAGCTTGAGAAAAATATCAAGAAGTTTTGTGGCATGTTAATAGCTTACATTTATATTATAATTATTTATAATAGGATATAATTTCCAAATGCTTATAGTTATTTATAATAGGTTTTAATTTCCAAATGCTTCATAAATACAGATTTATGAAACATTTAAATACTGATAAATCATAAAATTGATATTATATTGTAAGTTAATCATTCAGACATGTAAGATATTTATAAACAGTCGATAATGTCAATGTTCTCTAATTATCCTTGTGTATCTTGTTGATTTAGAAATATATTCATAGTCAGATTTTATACCTAGGTTTATCTTCCAATACTAAATGGACCATTTCATTCGCTTATGAAGTATTTGAAAACGAACTTAAGATAATTTCAAGTATAAAATCAGACCATATAAATACTGACTTTAGAAACATTATTTAAAACTTTAACTCCATTCTTATCACTGCTTAATCTTACAAAATCTCAACATTTCAAGATTCTTTTCACAAATTTTGAAATTTTCATATTATAATAAACAACACAATTGTTTGTTTGTTAATGTTATTGTTAGATAACATAATGTTAGTATATTATTTTCCAGGATTTAATGATTGGCTTATAATAACAACATGCAAATAGATTAAGATTATACAAATTTATTTGTATTATATAGCATATGCATATATATAAAAAAGGGGGGAAACGATACACTTTTAAATTTGTTTCGCAAGCATGGATGCATACAGAAAAATATATACTAGATTCAAGTAAATGTTGATTGTTTCAAATTTTTCATAAAAAAAGTTCATACATCTGTAGATATATCATATAAATTCATTACAAACATACAATTTATTTAAAACACATTCTGAATCTTATGGCGAATTCGACTGAATGCGCTAGTGCGCGTAAAAAAGGCACACTAAGGCCGATATCATTATTATATTTCTTTCGGTATGTTCTTATATTTAAGTCGATTTATATAGTTTGTTCTTATATTTAAAATCGTCTCAAACTCATCTTAAAATGTTGTACAAATCGTTTCATTAGCTATGGAACATTCAGAGGCAAACTTGAGACGATCTTAAATATAAGAACGGAATATGATAACGGTCTTAATGCACACTAGTGCATCGAATCTAATTCGTCATTAGCAAGTTTAACATTTATATGAATAAAATATTTTTCTGTATGGTGGTGGGTCAAGTTTACTGGCTGGAATTCGACAAAGGTGGAAATTTGAAGCAGACAGGAACTCGTGCACACGACGCGCCCGGCTCGTCTTCTTCATTCGACTTGCATCTCTCTTTCTCCTACCTTACGCGTCGTTACTCACTCGTTCCGTATCACACCAATGTACGAGCGATGCACGTACACAGGCATCATATCTCTTATCAACGGGTCACACAGACGTAGAGGCTCGCGCACATCCACACATCCGCACACTGACGCACGCGACCGACACGCTCAAGGTACCTCCGCCCACCGTCGTTCATCCAATCGCATCGCGCTTTCTCTCTCGCGCAGTACCTCCTTATACCCCTCTCTATCTATCGTAAACCCACACGCTCTCTCCCTCTCTCTCTCATTCTCGCTCTCCTCGTTCTGTAGGATTCTCGTTACTCACTTGCCGATAATCTCGCAGAGCTCGTAAACATCGTCGAAGAGAACCTCGTCGTCCGCCATGGTGACGACGAGGAGGAGGTCGAAGGAGTCGACCTAGGAGCTAGGAACCTGCACGCGCCAGGAGACACGTCGCGGTTACACGAATGCGTGATAATTCGTAGCGCGTGCGGGTACGCGCCTTTCGCTCCAGTCGTAGTCCCCAAGTCGACGACGTCGTTGTCGTCGTCGTCGTCGTTGTATTCGTGTCGCGCGAAGTACGCGCGGCGTGAGCGTAGCCACGTATCGAGGATTCACGGCCGCCTCGCCGTCGTCCCTCTCCTCTCTGCTCCTATCTATCTCTCTCTTGCTCGCGCGCGCGTTCCACCTCTGGGCTCCGCTTCGCTTTTACGCACACGTCACGCACATAAGCACGCACACACAGTCGTGGATAATGCACTCGGTGTGCCAGCACACCACCGACCGACCGACCGTCGTCACACTGGCACTCCGTCGACGGACACGAGCCCACACCGTTCGGTTGCGGTGGGGTGCGATCGTGAATCGTACGCGGCGCAGCTCTGCGCGAAGCGATACGGTGTCGGTGGGAACGCCGCCGACACCGCCTCGTCGCTATTCGAGGCGCGCTCGTTCGCTTGCTGATTCGCACGCTTGCTCTCGCTCGCTTATCCTCGCTCGCCTCGCCGGCAATGTCAGGACGCACGCAGAAAACAAAGCGGTGTAGTGTTATGCCAGACTTTGTAGATAGGCCTCTGTGTCCTAGCGTTGAGCGCGGCGAGGAACCGGATCGTGGGGCCGGTGTGGTGTCTCCTCGCCGGGGCGCGCGAGCACGCACGTTACCGGTCGTACGACTACGGGTCGAGGCGAGAGACGACCGACGAACGACGGTGGACAAACCGATGTGACACTGCACACGCTACCCCGTCTGTCAAAGGCCGGGGAAGTGGATTCGCTCGCTCCGAAGCAAGACTGGTTGCATAAAACGCGGCGAGCGGCTGCGCCGACCGCCAGCCGTTCTCCGCCGACGCCCCCTCTGTGACCACGCTGTACATGGAGGGGCGGGCGTGGCGCCTGCCTCTCTTTACTCGCAACCTTTTGCGCTTTAACGTATCCTTTACTTCCTTCGCTGCTTCCCCGTTGAACGTGCGTAGCGCGCTTCTAGATTGACACTCGTGAACCTCTCGACGGCGATCCGCGCTGTCGGTCGGGACATCATCGCCTGGTCTTTCTCGGTGGCACCGCTCTTTACCAGCAGCTGTGATGGTATCAGCTGACCGCGAACAATGGCTTTTTTCGTGCTCTTGACATGCAATATTCTCATGTTCATAACGGTGGAAGCCTTCCTTTGACGATTGGTTCCTGTGGATTGGACAAGATTATAAGTTCAGTCAGATTGCTCGATGTGTACTAAAATCTGGACATATACCTATCTTGTCCGGATGATATCGGGTATCGATTGTCGATGTAGAAGAGTGTGATGAGCGAAAACGTAATGGAATTATTAGAGCTTCATAGTGTAGCAACACATTGGTGTCATGTCCAGTTTGAATTCAATCGTGGATATCGCATTTAATGCGATATCGAAAGTGAAGCTAGGCTACATACATAGAAAAAACTGAAATTTTATAAAGAATATTTTCATCTTTTATTCTTTCCTTCTCCTTTGCTTTTCTCATTCTCTCTTTTTCTCTCTCAATAGATTACATTGTGAAATTATCAGAAAAGGAAATATCTGCTTATCACACATTATTGTATATAGGAAAGCCCATCGAAGATATACTCGATCTCTTCCTTGCGTCCAAATACCGATAACACCAACATTGTACCATTGTGACAAATGGCGTGTGTGTCTAAGCTCACAAATTTGGCTTCTCTTTCGATATACTTTAAGTGTTTGTGATTGTGCCCTCGTACAAAGAATATAATCTTTCTACATAATTAAAAAATGCTCATTATAAACATATTAGTATATATGTTAAAGATTTGTTTTGAATTTTCCTTGAAATGCATAAAAATACTTATGTAAAATTAAACTAAAACATTTAAAATACAAAACAAGAAGTAAATTAAACATTCGTTTAAGTCTCACCCGGCTTTTTCCCACTCATTAATATAGACGTTCTTTACTTGATCTATTGCCAATTTATTGGAAAGACCAAGTATACTGCATGTTATCTAAGAATAAATGCACATAGTAAATCTTAAATTAATTGTTCATTGTGTTAGATCTTTAAACAATTTAATTAACAGAGAGAGAGAGAGAGAGAGGTAAATATTGTGCAAAATTATATTCTAGATAGAATACTCTCTTTTTACCTAGAAATGATAAGGCAGGGAGAGATGGCATTCAATGTATGTACACACCACTAATGCCAGTTATCTCTTGTGTACCACACATAAATATTTAAATTTATGGTACTTATAGTATCTTTTCCTTGGTTAAAGAACTAAAATATCTTATCAATTCTTGTTTATACATACCATGATTACTGCTACTCCTAGGTTCATATTAACACCAGTATTAAGTACTGAGTAAATGACATATTCAGTTGGATTAATTTTCACTGAAATTATTTTATATTCTTTGCATTTTCTATTATACACGATTTTATGTCCATTAATCCATTTACGTTTCCATTTAAATTTCTTTCTAAAATTTGTATGATTTTACATTCAGAAGTATATAATTTTCTATCTACAATTACTATTATGCACTATTTTGAATGTATACTTTGTATAATATTAAATCGATCTGATAGAGTCAATATAAAAAAAAATACACACACACACACACACATATATATATATATATATATATATATATATATATATATATATATATATATATATATATATATATTTATGAAATATAATTATATCAAGTACCTGTTTTTTTGTACCGCATGATTCAAAACACTAATATTGGATTTTTTATTGGAACATTTCTTCCTATATCTGTTTTGATATTTCATTATATAAGTCCAATAAGCATTCATATATATGTGTTATGAAATAAATTGACTATACACTTTAATTAGGCCATTGAAAATATCTATATAAAAACTTATTCCTAAAATAAAATAAAAAGTCATACACATTATCACATGTTATTTTAAATACATTAGTATAATTTTTTATAGCTATTATCGATATTATGAGTTAACATATAAACTAAATTATTACTAATATATGAAAAAATACATTCAATTAAAGTATAAACAAACATGTAAACTCTAACCAACAAACTACACCAATTCTTTATATTATTCCTTTTACGTCTTAATAAGCAAATTGAAAATGTTTTTTAATAGCAACAAATCTTTGTTATAATTAATAAATTAAAAGTTTAAACATACGATAAGCGGGAATCTCTTTCATCAACTGCAATCAACTTGATGACTGTTCCTTATTGTAGTGGGCGATGCATATTAATGTTGTAAAATTTTCAACAAAAAATTTACGTTTTTATTTACGTTTTTATTTGTTGTATTTTCTTATACTAACGTTTCATTTTACTGGCATTCGATAAGAGAAGTATTTCTCGGGTGGTTCAGAGAGAAAACGAGCAGGCGCAACTCGCATCCATTATGTACGCAAAACTAACCTTTATGACATCGATATATCGCAACGATGTCATGTCGATTGTAACCGGTAGTGGCGTATCGATGTGTGCAGCGATACCGAATAATTTCAAAGTAGCAGCGTAGTGTTTGGTACGTAACACGTTTAGGTTAGGATAGCTATTTTCATAATTAAAAATATTCGCGCGAGCACGACGATGTCATGTGATTGTTATGAGATATTTGAATGTTAACAGCGACTGATAGTCGCGTGTGATTCACTTGACGAAGTTATCAAATATACGTGAGGACAGACAATTATGGTGTAATAATCATCAAGAGCGTCATTTCCATCTGCACGTCGAGAACAGCTTTCATCAAGGTTCAAACCGGTAGCGTTCCTTTCGACAGGACACACGGTTTAGTCGAGCAAAAATGACTACACTGGAAGCAGGTGTATCACTCGTTGCACGGGAAGACATCAACTGGAGGAAAGATTTAATTTCGCAGTTACGTGAAAGGAACAGATCTCAAACAAACTGTTTTGCAGATCTTATTAGCCTACGTAAGTTTCATATACATGCTCATTTACATCGAGCCGACATAATACATGTGTCATTATATTCTTTTTGGCACAGAGCTGTTGCTACGTAGCACGCTTACTTGACATATGTTATACTTTATTTGATGTCGCTTATAGATATGCATTGTATATTATGTTGGTTTCTGCACAGAATATTCAGAGTTTCACTAGTCTGTAAATTGAGTTAATTTATATGTACATTTATACTCATGATACCTTTGTATTGCAGACAATAGATTATTTGAAAATGCAAACACATTGCGTGGTGCTAACATGCAGTTGACAATAGCAAATGAAACTCTTCGTCGTGAGGTAGCCAGTGGTAGTATTGGTTTAGGTGGAAATCCAGATCTTGAGGCAAGACTTCTAAAACAAGCAGAAGAACTAGCGATGCTACATAAGAGAAAAGGTGAACATACGCAACAAATAGTAGATCTTAATAACAAACTACAGGAAATGGCAAAGGAACTTCACGCAAAGGATATCAGGTAAATTGTCTTTTTATTTTTATACATATATTAAACTAACCATTATTGATTGTTCTTTTTCAGTCTTGCAGAAAGTCATGAAGTTAATACTAACCTACGCATAGACATAACCAAATGCCTTGGCAGAGAGAAGGAATTGGAAGGTATTAATCAGATGCTCAAGGATGAACACCAAGCTTTGCAACTTGCTTTTGCATCTTTAGAGGAGAAGCTCAGGAAAACACAGGTATTTAACATAATGCCTCTTTCTTTTTTGTATGACGTTAAAAAATATATTAAGAGTTATGAATGTTTACTATACATTGCTTAAATAAGTTGACTAAATTATTTGTAGCTATTTCTTTGTAATTAGGAAATATTACTTTCCTGTATTAAAAGACTGATATTTATTTGAATGTACAGGAAGAAAATCGGCAGTTGATCGAACGATTAATAAAATACAAGGCCAGAGATGCAGAGAAAATGAATGAGGAGAACGATAACTTTTTGAGGTGAGTACACATGTTAACAATACTACTTATCATGCGTTTTAGAAATTAAAAATAAGAATTATAGTTGCAAACATTGTAGACATTATGGATATCGCTTTCTTTCTTTTATTGCTTGGATAGAATATAGAGCATTTTATAGCAGTTTAGTAATATAATAAAGTGTGATTACAATAAAACGGTTATTTTATTAATGTCTTAATATTAACTTTGTAATATTTTCTTATAAATTTAAATTTCCATATAGCAATAAATACTTCTACATTTACTTACTAACTTGATTTTTATGTATTGTGGCAATATGTATGTACAGTTTTGCCTATTTATTACAATATTTTGCACTTCTTTGTAAGCGTATATTTATGACAAATATTTTTGACTATCTAGTTAGCTTTCAGAATTTTTATCAATTTTTCTGCATGGACTTTAGTTGATTTGGTATACATATATTGCATATGTGTCTTGTGCCGTAATGCATAGATTTGCATGAGAGTGCCTTAATTTATTTAAGAAATAATCTTGTGTTTAAAATTTTTATTTTTCTTTAGCACAATCTTTCTATGGGAAAACTTATTCTACTCTTCACACTTATAAAATCTTATACACGCATAGTTCTAAAAGATATTTTTTATCTTGTATATTTTGGCTTAAAATGATATATGTTAATATGCAATAAATCTTTTCAAGTTTGTTCTCTTAAATTATTGGAATTGCTGTTAATTAAAGTAATTAGAATGCATGTTACGTAATTTCGGAATGTAAACTACTTGTTTATTAATTATGTGATATGCATTTCATTTTATAAGTATTTATTAAATCAGATAAAGGTTCTCCCCCTCTTTCTCTTTCTTTATAGACAAGAAATGCAAGCAATGAAATTTTTAGATTGTTAAAAAATATATGTGTATATATATATATTTCTTTTTTTTTTAATAGAGAAGACTATATATGAATTTTCTTATAAGTGCACTTTTTTAAGCTATAAATAATACAATATTTAAGCTTTCTACAGAATATACACAATCGTTTACATTCTGTCACTTTGGGGCTTTCTACACTGGCACATCACACTGCTTGACATTTTCGTTTCAGTTTTACGAGTCCAACAACCTTTTTGATGAATACCCTATCAAAATTTGGGTAAGTTTAATGAAATTAAGTGAGAAACGTTTCACTTAATGTTAAATAACTTTGGGCTGGTAATTTAACGAAACTATATACTTTATTTTGCACTTTGTATAATGATTCAGGTATTTTATCTATGGATGATTATATGGTACATTCAATATATTATCCCGTGCGAATATAGTATATAAACATAGACAACAAACTTGAAAAGAAAACAAATATTTACTACCTCCTAAAAATCTAAATCTTTATTTTACAATATTTTCATAGAAATATTGGTTCTGCTAATGGAAGAAGCGAAAGTGGAAATTATATGCACGATAAAATGGCATATTCTAAAATACATGCTATAGCTTTTTACAATAAGATATATGGTGCAAGATAATCATGGAAAGTATTACATTGCGATATATGTTTTAAGTTGCTTTTGCAACTTTATTGGACGTGAACACGACGTTGCATTCACTTAATAATATATCTGTTTCTTATTTTTTTACAGAAAGAGGCAAGCAAAGATGCAGAAAGAGTTAGAAGATGCAGCACGAGATACGCGACCCGTCAGTCCTGATCGCTCGAGCTTAAAAGAAGGAATCGCTGGTCTTCCGACAGCAGTGCCAACGAATGTATCCGTAACGTTTGTACGTTGATTTAAATATAAAATATTTCGTCGCGTGCTCCTATTATGAAAGTATTTACACGAATCAGTATTCAATACCTGCAATAACACCGAAATGCGGAATTGCATGCTTTGTACGTCGAAATATATGTGTATTTAATGATACAAATTCCCGTTTACAAGCATAAAATAATTAATTTTTAAGTTACTGACTAGTATTTTACTTAGGTAGCGAAATAAATGTTTCGTGATTTGGTTTTAATTATTGCTTGGTTTTGGTATATTCGTATATACTTTCCAAATGTGAAAACTTTTTTTTAGTAGTAACCAATAATTTTAGTAGAAAATAGTATAGATGAATGGATATAGGCGTATGGGAGGATACGCAGAATGTCGAATTTTATTAAATTTTCGTTATTTAAAAAAGATTTATTTTGTATTTTGCACAATCCAATGTACATTGCACATTGAATATCTCAACTGTGTTATTTTTATCAGTTGAACTGTATAGTTTTATAATCAAAGTATATTGTTTCACGCCAAATAGGAATAGGAAAAAACAAGTTTTCTGATAATTCTTTAATTTTTTGGATAAGAGATTTTTTCAAATCACAATACAGATTAACAGTATATTGGTAAAGTTAAGTTCCTAAATTTTACATACATTTAGTAATTACATACATTAAGCAAATGTTGCCTACAAAATATAATATTTTAGATATAGTGTTATTATTGTTATCGCGAAATTTTAGATTAAGTTTTATGTTAAAATGTTAAAATATATGCTTTGATATATTAATACATTATATCTAAATCATGATATAAATTTTTATTTGTTTAGCATTAAGTATCCTTGCACATGTGATGTTCTTGCATGAAATATCCATTTTATTTTTTAATTTTGGCGTACAAAGTTCGCAGTATACGCTATTTTTAAATCACAAGTTGAGTATTTTAATCGGAGATATATTTGATAGCTTAAATTATGAGGAAAATTTGTACATTTAAAGTAACATGTGAATACGTGCATCCTGATTATTGATTTTTTATAGTGAAAATTAACCTGCATTTTATTATATTATGAATTATTAAATCAAGTCTATATTTAATTTGTGTTTATGTAAAAAATCTTATTGAATGCATATAAGATATCTAGCAATCTTATATATTAAATGTTTAATAATCCTTGCAGAATGCTCATGATGGTGAAGTTTACGCTGTTAAATGGTCACCTACCGATAGAATCTTACTGGCTACTGGTGGTGCTGATAGAAAAGTGAAGCTTTGGAATATCGCCAAAGGTGATTATTTAGAATATGGTTATATATATATATATATATATATATATATATATATATAT